AAAAACCTCTACCACAGCCTCCATGACTGACTGGAGATGATTAAGAGAGGACTATGCTTTGCATATTAGTCCCAAAGCTTTTCACTTCCTTCTAAGTGAAAAAAAAGGAAAACAAGTACAATGTAAATGAAGAGAAGCTCCTGTGTCAATGCAGAAATTGTACTAGCTTGTGCTATAGAACCACAGATATATATAAAAAAGTTAAAGCTACACTTGCACGCTTAACATTTTAAATTGATGCCAGCGCAAATTTATGAGCAGCTTATTTAAAATGTCAGCAGGAGATCTAATTTATCCAACAAGAGTCTGATTATACCTGACTGCAGTGACTGTGAGAAGGAACATGGTGGGCTAACGCTCTGCTCATGTTTCCTTTAGATGCCAAACTGCCTGACTGCCAGCTGAGCTGCCCTTTCTAAAGGGTTTTAGGGAGTTGGACTCTATCCTCTCCCATTTCTGCAATCATACTGACTTCAATAGAATCACATGGGTAGGATGGGCAGCAAGATATACATTGTCATTCTATTGATCTACATCAACTTTGTCTAATATTCTAGGTACACCAGGGGAGATTGTTCCCTACGGAGATTCAGGTCAGTGTTCCCAGTTAACAACCTTGTCCTGCTGGAAGGAGGACTCTAACTGTGATTTCTTCTTTCTGACATTATTAGATTAAAAATAATCCTTGCTGTAAATCCACTGGGTTCCTGAGAGCCTGGCATTAGACCTGGGCATGGCGCAGAGTTGCAGGGGACAGTGACCCACCACCCCGGGGAGCTGTTGATCCATAGAAGGTGCTTCGGCCTATCGAGACCCTACGTGCCTGATAGCTCAGGGGCCAGCCCCAGGCTGTGGATCAGCCCACAGCAGAAGTGTCACCTTTAGGGGACAATACAGCTGGCGGCTGCAGCGAGAGGGGTGCGGCGCATGTCCCACGCTCAGATGGCCTCAAGGTGGCACCTGCCCCCAGGCCGTGCTGCTTCAGTTCCAGCCAGGGACAGCACGTGGCTGCAGCAGGACACCCTGCTCAGGGCCAGGGACGCTCAGGGCAGGCAGAGAAACAGCACTCGGGTCCTAGGGCTCTGTTCTAGCAACTGCAGCCCCCCGTGCTGGTGCTGAGAATGGGGATTAACAGATTGTCCTGGGATCAGCTGTTAGCAGAGACAAATTGCTTCTAACTGTTACACATATAGGGGTGTTTCCACCATCACAGAGATCATAAAACTGTGTGTTGCCTTTCAGAGATTACCAGAAGAGAAGATGCAATTGCAGATGGTAAATATAAAGAAGCAAATGGAGAAGACTTGTTTTAAGTAGTCTGGGTGCTTTTCCTTTTGGATGCTGTCTTGCAGGAATCAATTTGCTTAGTGATGATAACTACACCAGCTCCTTGCTGCCTACGTATTTCTTAAAGGAATACTTGAAGTTTTAGGATAATTATTAACATGCAATTTAATGCTTTAATAGAACAAATCCTGTGCAAGTCACTCACTGGTACAGGAGTTACAATGGGCCTATTGCACTGAGGAAGCAGAGCAGTACAAAACAGCCCCGTTGCAGCTCTGTGGCGGCATCCTGATGAATTCTGTGCATATAGGTCATTCACACACTCATGCTAACACACAGAGCAACGTTTGTTAATCAGAGTAGCATAATACTACTAAGGAAATTGAGTTTGTCACAAAACCACAACTGGATCAGTCCACAACCCTCAAAGAATCAAAAATTCACCAACATGAGTCATGTGTCGGAACAGAATTTCTCTGTAAGTTTTAGTTGCTTCCTGGTTTTAAAGTACAATAGCCAAAGTCTGTAGTTCACTTGAATTTCAAAACTTTTTTCTCCTCATACTGTCTTATTACATCATTTCATTACACTCTATTACATCACTTCATTACATAAAATGGAATTCCCTGCCAGGCTATGGATGCCTGAACACACAACCTAGTGTAAGTGAAGTTAGCATCTAACACGTGAAAAGAACCAACCCGCAAAGGACTCAACACAGCACACTGCCCAGAGGAGTTCCCAAGCACTCAGCTAGCAGAGGAAGAACAAACAAACAACAACAAAACACACAAACCTGCTTTGGGCCTGTCATTGGCAGAAGTTGGAAAGACTGGGTATTTTACCAGGTTTCCAGCACCGTCACAGAAAAAGCAGAATTTGGCAATTCTACTTGCAACTAGAGTACAGCAAAACCCCCGCTACTTAAACCTCTAAAGAAGTCTAGCTCAGTTGTATACTGTTCTTTCTATTTAGCAATATAAAATACACTGGCTAATAGTCAGTTACAGTTCTTAATTTGGGGGATGCAGAGATACTCTAACACCAGACTTACGTAGACTGGCGGTGCCATCATTAGCATAGTGATAAAGATTGCTTTATTAAAGCAGCTGTAAGTGCATGAAGAACCTAAGAGCCAAACAGAAGCTCCCTTCTCCTACAGCTTTACTCCTCCTCTGTCATTCTGAGAATATTGATTCTATCAGACTGGATGTAAAAGACCCAGCAAGCATTAAAAACAATGTGGTATTGTTAATTCAGCCATCCAATGGTTCTATTTAAATCTGCTACAAGTTATTTGAAAAGAACTTCTGGGGTGATTTTAAAATTGCTAGTTGGATCTTTCTGAAAGCTTTGTAGAGCTTTCCTTTGAAAGGATGATTTTTTATGTAGATTTTGCTTTGAGAGAATAATTGCAAATAGAGAAAGGGAAAGTAACTTAAAGCTCCAAAATTTCAGAGTTCTGTGGCAATAAAAGACTTTTTTTTTTCCAAGCACACAAGAATGACAGCACTCACCTCCCTCAGAGGAGACTATGGTGGATGGGCATACGGAAGGATGGTAAGAATCTTTTCTATTTTTCATGTAGCTAGTTTCAACCCTTATGCCAAAAATTAGATCTCTGGCAGAAAAGATTCTTTTCATCTTATGAGCAGTATGAGGAAGCTCCCAGGGACTGCTGACAGGGCACCTTCAGAGCACGTGTGTGTTCTGCAGTTGAGTGTAATGCGTGAGGCACCTCCTGTGGAAACACACTTCATGCACGGAGGAGCACGCCGTACTGAACATGCGCTCAGCAGGACCATGCCTGTAGTCATGACCCAATTTCCCCTTTCTGTTTCAGATGAATTCTTCCATTTTGTCATTCTTTGCTTTGGCATTGGAGCGTTACTAGTTTGTTATTACTACTACAAAGGTAAGGAAGTATTTTAACACAAGTATAAATTGTTGCACCCTTGAAGATAGACAAGGCCAAACAACCATTTATTTATTTCCCCAGATTGGACTATTTCTCTTGGAATTGGTTTAATCACCTTTGCTTCCCTGGAAACCACGGGAATATACTTCGGTCTAGGTACGTGTATTGATAGCAGCCAGTTTTGTATCAGCACCTCCAGGATACTACACAAGTCTAGAAAAATACTATTGCTGAGACTCTATAAATCATAACTATTTGGTAGCGTCTCGCTCGCAGTTACAGTGTGGCTGGAGACAAACATGTCTCAGCCACACTGAAGACAGAGCTGCCTCATTTTTCCTTCCCAAGGATGCCCAGGCCCCGCGTCACCTCCCGCAGCAGCAGCGGCTGAGCGCTGCGTTGCCGTGACAACGCCTCATTCCAGCGGCAGGGCCTCCTTCCCACCGGCTCCGCACGGAGCTGCGCGCCCCGCGGCCCCCGCTGCCCTGCAGAGCCGGGGCAGCAGATCGCCGGAATTACAGAAACCCAGCGAGTTGACAGGAAGGATGCAGCTGGCATCAAGCTGCAGCTTCCCAGTCCACATCAGAAGCCTCCTCTCATCTCGCGCTGTGTTCAGGCAGCCTCGCCACAGCTCCGCTACCAGTGGCAGCACAGAAGCACCCACTTAAATAGTCAGCTCACACCCGTTAGCATTGCAGGTGGCCACGGCTGATTTTTCGCCCTTTTCTTAGGTTTTGTGTTGCTATCTGCCTCGTCTTAAAAAAACATTTCTGGTTTGTTTTCACAATTAGTGTATCGAATTCGGAGCGTACTTGACAGTTTTGTTCCTCTGATTGCGAAATTCAAGCCAACAGGTAATAGTGCTTTTCTTACTGACTACAGGTATATTCCTTAGACCTCACTGGCTATTTCATTTTAGCTGACTCATTTTCCCTAAACTAGGATTTCTGATTTTAACTAGTCTGTTACAGCTGCTTTGATTTAGAAAGGAATTATTCTTAACTTTCCAAGTGGCAGAGCATTTTCATACTTTAATATACCTGCCCTTGTGCTGGTAACACCTAATGAGAATTGTATAGTTCAATTCAAAATGGAGCAGCTTCCAGCCTCATGTCTGTTTGTTCTTGTGGAATAAAAGATAGGAAGAATGCAGAAAACTGCCCCTGGGCTGACAGCAGACACTTGACATTCATTTGAACACGCTGGTCCTGACTATCTTCTCTTTCTTTATCACATAGGTATGAGGAAAGCTGCCCAGGAGGAGCATTTCAGGGGAGCTTCATAAATCCCTGCTGTTGGGATTTCTGGTATTAAAAGTATTGGCTTTTATGAGAGGCAGACATGGAAACCTCATGGTTACTATATACGAAGCCATGGAAACATGTCATTCCTTCTACTCAAAAATAAAGCTAAAATTGCGATACTGAGTCCCTTTCTTTCTTCTGAAGTTCTCCATGGTTCAGCTATTCAATCTAGGTCTAGGTTTATAAATCAGTTCCATGTGTTTTAATATATCCCATTCAGCTTCCTTCCCCCATGCACTCATGCTTCTCTGGTCATAGTTTATCAAAGTCAACAAAAAGATGAAAATTACCCTCAGCTGGTTGTGGATTAGGCTCTGGATGTTTCAGTAGGAATCTTGGCACCCACAAAGCCACCTCCTCTTCCCCCCTTGTGATGCTGCAGACCGGGCACACAGCAGCTGCTTGCTTACACAGCTGAGCCCCTACAGTGCAGCAGCACTGAAGCAGATTAACTTATTGTGGCAGAACTCAGTATAGTGGGTGTAGAATGATTGCACCCAGTGAAAGCCGAGTGAGATTTTATATGTACTGACATAATGGTGCAGTAATGAAATTATTATTAGCGGCATTTTTTTTTCCTTTCTGAGGGCAAAAAATGCTTGTATCTACCCACCCCCACACCTTTTTTCTTCTGTCATAATTTGCACATGAAATACTGTGTACTGTGCAGATCTGCATTGACCCAACAAAGCAATTACCTAAATGTGGCAGGGGACATGTTATTAAATTGAGCAGTAAGGAAGAATACAAGTTATTTTGTAATGTTCATGTTCTCATTTACATGTAGTCATCTTCTGTCATGTACAGCTACTGCATCTTTTGTGTTTTTACTCTGAAAATAAAAGTCTTCCTCAGACCAGTGTGGCACTTTTTGTGTCAAAAGGCCTTTATCTGAACTGAATACTGTATACACAGCCATAGTTTCTTCTTCTCTATAACACCTTTCAGAAAGGTGTCAGGATGATGAAAACATATTTTACTCCTAAATATGCTTTCAGATTTTCAAGTTTGGTACATTGCAATTCAGAGAATAACCTTTCATAAAACAACCAGATACTGTTAACGGGTAACACAGAAGTAGCAAAACATCAAACATTGGAACCAATCATGAGGTGAACAGTTCATCCAGTTTATAACAACTCCCAAGAGAACAGTCAGCTCTGTGGAAAGAACAACTTACCTCTTCAGTCGCATCCTCTCAGGTATCGAGTTCCTGCTGTTCCTTCAGATCCGTTGTCTCAAGTCCATCCCAGTATCTGGAATGCTCCTGCCTCTTGCCCAACAGCAGAGCTGTGATTCTGCTGTCCCTTCTCACTCTAGTTGCAATACTGCCCAAGCGCTCAAAAATATGACCTTGCTTAAGAAGAGTATCTGTCCTCTTAAATAAGCACAAGGCTCACATGAGCTACCACTCTCTGGGGCCAGCAAGTCCTCCCAGGGCTGACAGCTCACCATTTCTACAGCTCTGTTGGTCCTCTACCTTCCTCTGCTTGTTCCCCAAGAGCTGGTGCATCTCTTTCCACTACACTCACATTATCCAGCATGGAGTCTTCCCTTTTGAATGTCTGAGGGGGGCAGAACAGAAAGGAATAACCGAAACAAAGGCATTAATGACCCTCTTCCTCAACACACATTCCTGGTTTTCATTACCCCATCCAATGTCTCACATTTCTGTCCAAAAAGGGGGGCTAGTGAAATCTTCTGGCAGTAAGTAACTCCCCTCCAGATGGGATTCTAATCTTCACCAGTAAATTGGTGCAAACATCAAACAAAAAAGTAACTTGATTCACTCCATGCTACTATGTCGACTACACCATATCCCCGTTGAAGCAGAGTTTACTTGGAGCCTTACAGCGAACACTCCTCCGCTTCCAAGCTGGAGCTTGCAGTAGGGGAGGTTGGTTGCAAAGCAAAAATCCCCCTGCCACACTGCAGGCAGACAAAGCACAGCAGCCACCAATTTCCAAATAACCTATAGGTCTCTTCAGTTACTAAAAATACATTGCCCCCGCCTCAAATCCCATGAAAAAATAAAAACATTGTTTTAAGCTGGTATTTTTATTAGAACTCTCTACATAAAGCACCTTTGCCTTAAACTTACAATACTTCTCTGAACACTGCTTTCCTGTAACACAGCACGAGATGCTTCAAACTACTCGGCATTTCTTGATTTGGACACTGCCACCTTAACAGCTTGCACAATGGCATCTTTATCGATGCCAAACATCTTGAGGAGCTCAGCCGGCTTCCCGCTGCGGGGTACGTGAGACACGGCCAGGCGGTGAACGGTGACACCCGGCTCCCCCACCACGGCAGCGCACACCGCCTCTCCTATGCCACCTGCGAAGAGAAGGACAAACACCACGTATGGATTGCTTCCATAGGCAACGGCTGCTCCTATCTCAAATCCAAGGAGTGAAAAACTCCAGAGGAGACCCCAGGTTTGTCTGTGTTTTTGGAGAGCAGCGCTGAGCTTGAGGGGTGAACTGTTACTGAGAGAGCACCTAGGAGGGACAGATGGACCACGATGCCAGTCCCAGAGGCTGCAGTGTCAGAAAAGTAAGCTTAACACCCTGCTCTAACACAGACTTCTGCTGTGCTTGTTTCAACAGGATTTTATAAATTTGTAAAAACTCATATCCGATCAGAAGTCAAAGTGAGTTCAATCCCAAATGCACATGCCTATGAGAAGCATCAATCATAATATAACATATGCTCAATTCCACCATTTGAGTGCCGAAGTTCACCATTGTGAAAACATGTTCCTATTCACAGGCACTCTGAGGGCAAGCAGCCTGACACTTCTTAAGAACTTACAGACTGGCAGTGCGAAATATACCTCTAGAATGGACAGAACTATCACGAATCCCTCAACAATTCAGCACTGGTCACTAAGGCAAAACTTTAAATAGAAATATATTTAAATAAAGGAATATTTACAAACATACTTCAGGAACTGAATGCATCAATTCCTGTCAAGCTCACAGCATTTAAGTGTGACCTTGTTACAACTTCTGTAATTCCTCTTGGGCACCCAAGTTACTTAACGCACATACGTGCATGTATACATTGTCTATATACATGCATACAATGTATACATGGAACCTCTGCACGTGGCTCAGCCCAAACCGAGTCACCACCAGGGTCAAAGGGGTGCAGTGTGGAACTGGGCGGCAGCAAGACAGATGATGGAGGCAGCAGTACAAGGGAAAAAGAAAAGGGCTGGTGCCAGCAGCGCACGCTCTGCGGCTCCTGCAGGACTCACCTCAGCACTGCTCTGCCCGCGGGCTGTGCCTAGGGACACAGGGTTCATCCCTGCTCAGGGCTCCGTGTGACAACCAGTCACATTCAGCCTGCAGCCACTTCTATGGACGTGGCTAGAAAGATTAGTGATGTGGGCTGGTGATGAATTCCACTTGAGCTGCCTTGATGGCATCATACAGACAGCTGGGCCGGTGTAAATGTGTTCTTCACCTCTGAGTGCCATGATTTTGCCTTCTTGCAAATCTACAGCAAGTTACTTGTCTCAAGTTGAAAAGGTAGCTAAAACATGATGAGGTTCAGTGATGAACCATCACCCATAGTCGGGAATAAAAGTATGATGTAACTAGGACTTGTGGTAATGCAGGTCACCTCAGACACCTGACTGGGGCTCCCTTTAGAGCAGGATGACATTCCCCTTTCTAGGGCTAATTCTCCATAATTCCCATGCCATAATTCACAGCTGCCCCTCTGCTAATTTTGCCAACCCCCCTCCAAGGGGTGAGCCTGATGTGCAAGCCATGGCAGCTGCTGTTTGCATAAGGGCTCACCCTCAGGGGACATGTTTGCAGGGGCAAGTCACTGAAAACCTGTGCAAACAAGATACTCCAGCAAGCATGAGGTAGCAAAGTAGTTAATCAATTGAACAACTGCTGAACTGAGGTCCTGCAGAACCCTGCCAGGGCCTTGCAGAAGGAGAGGAGTCATTTTACCTATGAAAACAAAATTTTGATACAAAAATTGGGGGAGTTCTATAGAAACTATTCTGCTTTTCTTGCACAGCATTTTTCATTAAGAATTTATTTGGAAATCATCTTAGAAACTCCTATTTGCAAATGCATATGCGCTTTTTTCTCTTAAAAATATCAAACACCAGCAAGATTCTGCCTTGTCAGCAGATGAGATCAAGAAATGAAAACAGGCTGGTGAGGCTGCACAAAACTCTGATCTGCTCTATCACAGTTGTGGTGACCTAAACCAGGAGAAGCAAACGAGTGTTGGCTTATCCCAGAGATAACTGCTCAAACCATCCAGCTTCAAGCAAATTGGGAGCAAGTTTTTGGACACAAAGAAAGCTTTAAAAAAAAGCACACAGCAACGGTCTCGCCTGTAATTTAAGAGGCTGCAGAGCAGCTGTTGTAAAGCCAATCTGGATCTATTCTGTGAAGATTCACTGCACCACAGCCGGAATTTATATTCTAATTGGGAACAAAAACCAGGATTTCACTTGGCTCACACAGAAAGAAGGACACACAAAGCCAAATTAATCATAAAGGCAGCTCTGATTAACCTATTATCTCAGAAAACTTTCAACACTTAGTCTCAAGCT